CAACCTAATCATAAGAATTAAGTAAAAGAAATGTAGCAAGAATTACACAGGCTTACACATGTATATTAGTTCAAGTCACAAGGCGACCGAAAACAAGGTTACTGATAGGCAGAAATGGGATTTCTGGTGGGAAAATTGAACACAATAATGAAATTAATGAAGCCTTCCTTTAAAAGCCCGGCAAGATTGTGCCCCGAGGACCACTTCTAGACGACTTCTTTAACTCATGTAAGAGTGGTGAGAAGTCAGACGTGTTACAACAGTAAGAAGACACTACAGTCGGACATACTGTACAGTGTAGCAGTTATCTCAAACCTTAGCACCAGCTACAGAAGGTAGTGTAACCATGGGTGTGCTGACCGTGATTATACTGCCTGTCCTGCTGACTGTGGTCGCCGCGGTGGCTGACCAGGGGGCCACGGAGACTGGTAAGCTGGGGGCCGCGGAGGCTGGCCAGGGGACCGCGGAGGCCAAGAAGTTCCAAGAACAGGCAGAAGAACCATCCCTGTCTCACATCCCCGACACCATCAAGGCAATGCTGAGTGAAGGAAAGCCCAACAGCAAAGGTAGGACATAAGGATTACTCCAACATAGGTAGGACAGAAGAATTACTTGAATATGCCATTCAACTTACAATTTGTAAACTAAGACTAATTCTCTCAACACTCAAAATGAGATGCTATGAACCGTGGGACACAGAGCTGCATACCACCACCCAGTACAGGTATAAACCTGTGAAAATTATCTAGATAGCAGGGAGCACAGATTTCTTCTACTGATACTATTAATGTGTGCTGTGTATTAAGTATGCCGTGTTTGTTGCCACCGCTCATAAAAGAGGAAGCTAAAAACTGTAGGATCTTGTTGGAGAAAAAAGCCAAAGTGAGATGATGTTGTAACCTCCGCGACCGTTACCTGTATTCTGTAAATTTCAATGAGAACGAGCCTTAAGCTGGAGTCACATTTCCAACGGGGCGTGCTCGGCATGTTCTCGGTGCAGACGCTGGCCGGCGTCATGAAGCCGTGCGTGCGCCGGCTGTCAGGGTCACAATTAAATATTCCTTTACGTATACGGCTCCCTGTCGGGTGCTGCGGCGGCTTCTATATGAAATTCACAAACTTTTGGTCCCTTCGACGGCCGGTTTCTGTTAGGAACTCGTCCGGTGCCCGGTCAGTCTCTCGGCTTGACCCGTGCGGGGTGCCATAGGGTGCCGACCGGCTCTTACACTTCGCAGCTTGGCGGGGTCCAGGGGCGATCCTAGCGGGTCCCTGGCTGGTATGCCCCTAGCTGTAATGGTGGGTTCGCCCCTGTTTGAGGCTTAAGTTGAGGCTCAGACCTGTGTATGGACACTACGACTCACTGATGATAGAGCTATGTCCAGTCATTGCGACTTTCAGTCCTTCCAGAATAAAAAAAAATGAATGAAAATGTCTGTATGCCTCGGTTAAAACCCTTCTTCTGAACAAGTAATACACAGACCAGCACACGTGTGGTACGATAGTGCCAAGAAACAGGCCGAAAACGCGCCCCGCGGGTCCCGAATTGTGACCTGGGCTTAAGATATGCAGCTGTGCACTGGGGGTATTTTCTTTACTCGGTGATGACCGTAGTCCCGAAGTCCACATCATGGTGTGACCTAAAATCCTCAGCAAGGGTCCGGGCTACAAGAATCAGGATCTCTTCTCTCTAAGTCAGAAACATCATGATTGAAAGAAGCTCGACTCGCTAACAGCGAGGAACAACTACCCCACTAGGAGAAACAGGGGCTGCACATGCAGCTTTGGTTATTTGTCCCATTTATTTAGTACTCAAAAATCTTGTTTTAAAAAACGTGCTAACTTTTTAAATGGGATAGCTATAGGTAGAAAAGTCTATTAAATTATACAACCAAAAACTTTTCTATATGGTTTTCTATATAGCAAAATAATGGGATAACACCCCTGTTATGCCATTAAATCTCTTTCTGGTAAATTAATGAGATAACAGAGGTGCTGTGCCATTAATTTTATTAATTTACCATGTAAAGATTGTGGTGGCACACAAGGTGAAAAAATTGCACGAACAAATTGCATACACTTATCAACATAATATCGATTAGCACGTTTTTTATAGTGAAATATTTTTGTACTAAATACATGGGAAAAAAATCAGATCTGCACATGCCATGTTTGTTCCCCAGACCTCATGACCTCATGAGGAAAACCCCCTGTTGTTGTTAGGGACCTGGCAAGGTACATGTATTATACAATATAACCATACCACTGGGCGAAAAGACCTCGGATGCAGCCGGATCCCAAGGATGCGAATTTGCATCTCCTTGCGGATGCTGCGCGGATCCCCAAGAATCCCAAGGATCGCTAATCCCACACCAAGAATCCCCAGGATTGCGGATCCCACACACATCCGTAACGCATACGTATGCATCCGTGCCTCACAGCGGATGCAGATGCGGCATTTGTAGGGATACTTACATCGCAGCGGATGCAGACATGGTATCCGTCTGGATACTAACTCGTTACGTATACGTTAGAAATATATATAATACGTCGTTAGGATAGGAGATGTCACATTCTTAGGGGTCGTGACCTGTCATATTTTTGGACCTCGAATACTACCGTTTATAACATAGATATAAGTGAGACAATCCACTATAAACTGGATACAAGGATACTCGTATTCTTGGGAGTTTTTTTTAACATCCTTGGTCCCACTCCACAGCAGAAGCGAATTGTGGGTAATCTGGGGATTTGTTAAATATCCGAATTTGTTTTCGTACGCATCCGCGGGCCCACTCCACAGCAGAAGCGAATTCTGGGTAATCTGGGGATTTGTTAAATATCCGAATTTGTTTTCGTACGCATCCGCGGGCCCACTCCACAGCAGAAGCGAATTCTGGGTAATCTGGGGATTTGTTAAATATCCGAATTTGTTTTCGTGCGCATCCGCGGGCCCACTCCACAGCAGAAGCGAATTCTGGGTAATCTGGAAAATTGTTGAAATTACAATCGCCACAAGAGGGCGCACCCCGTAGCGGCCATATACGTACATTGTAACGTTGCCTTTGCGCGTCGCATAAGCAAATGTCTGCTCGGATTCGTGACTGTACTGATTTTTGCTGATTGGAAACTTTGCGTATCAGACAAGAAGTTGGTTCACATACAACCTTGGCCGGTGTCAAAATCGAGCATCTCTCAAAGATCCACTTCGGTATTTTCGACAGATCCGCAGAGCACTTCCGGCAGCAGCAGTGCCTTGTGGGTAATCTGAGAAAACCCCGGGGGAGATTCAAACTCAACGGTCACTTTAAGTGACCGCTTGCTTGAGTGTGCGTCCCTTTCTATCGTCCCGCTGTCCATATATATACGCTTCATATAAGTTCAGCAACCACGGCATTGATTGTCAAAGTCTAGGATACTGACCGTACACCGACTGGATGCTATGAGCTATCAATGGCCGAGACAAGGACGAGAGACGTACCGGGGACATCGCCCGGCGAGGGCACGAAGCCGCCAGGCATGTCATGACAAGTTGCAGACTCGCCTGACGAACTGGACCATAAACCGACTGAATAAGACTGTTGACGGCATATAAAAGTGAGTAAACCCTTCGAAACTCTTTTAATTAGTATAATGGTTTCAGATCATTTCTGACGAAAGTTGAGAGCAATTCAACTTCGCAACTCACATCTGTGACCTTTATCTGACCTGTTGTTCCCATATGTAAAAGCACCGGCCTTCTCACCGGGGCGTATTTCACATGTCAATGCTGGCTCGCATAACAATGCCTACTGCTGGCATCCGGGCCGCTGGGGAGACTGTTATCCTAACGGTTTTTAGCACATTCTGGCCGAAATGCCATTTTTACACTGTACTTGTTTTCTGTTGTTGTTTTTTCTCGTAGGTCAGAAGCGACTGATTGAACGTGGTAAGACAGCGCAGCGTGTCTTCAGCGCAGACTTCTACAAAGGCCATCCTGATGTGGGACTAGGAGACAGATAATGGCTGTAACAACACATGGACTGTGAGACGATCATCCCGGCGAAGCAAGACGTGATAGTTCTAGTTTTACCTGTTTAGTATTGCAAATATTTATTTTACATATGTTACATCATACATGTATTCGTATAGTTAGTTCTCTCTTCTTTGTCGCTTTACTTAGTATGAGTTTTAATAAAGGCTTTCAGGCTAAATCTATTCATTCGTTTATTCCTTCATTTATCTAATTTAACTTGCTTGTTGGATCTGCACGTATACATATCAAACACGGGCGTATCCGGGGGAGAATGCCATAAAGATTCGGGAAGATCCGAGGTACGGATAATAAAAATCCAAACGCCGTGTCTGTTTGCATCCGAGGCAAATGCAGAGAAATGTGTATGGAAATCCGATAGGGATACGGGAAAATCACAAGTTATATATGTACGTATTCGTGTAAAATACCGACGTCTGCACGTGGGGATCAAAATATTGCATATCCGGAAAATCCCTATTAAAAGAAATTCGCATCCGTAGAAAATCCCGCTTTTTGCATTCTTTGGGATCCGGACAGTCCAGGTTACTCCAGGTGTACAAAAATCCCTAAAGAAACAAATTGGAATCCGCGGAAAATCCCGCTTTGGGATCCGGACAGTCCAGGTATACAAAAAAATCCCTCAAGAAACAAATTGGTATCCGTGGAAAATCCCATTTTGGGATATTTAGGGATCCAAACGTTCCGGATCCCTAAAAATGCAAATTTAGGATATTTTACGGATCGTATCCGTTTGCATCAGCTTGTATCTGCTAAAAATGCGTAAATATCCCTGTGCGCATATGGCTGCATTCGAGGCCTTTTCGCCCAGTGTACATTAATCTGGTTACCGGTATTCATATTCGAAGAGGGTGGGTGTATTTCGCATTTTAAACACAGTGTCTACCTGCATATGTTGCATGTATGTTATGATTTTCAACATGATCCATATTTGGCCTGTTTTTGATACAAAACTTGTTTTCCAGTATCTTGTCCTGGAGGTTACACAATGGGGCATGAAATCTGCTACAAGGCCTTCAGCGAAAGGAAGTCCTTCGACAAAGCTGCCGCGGCCTGTCGTGCAGACGGCGGCACCCTCGCCATGCCCCGAGACGCTGAGACCGACGCCTTCCTCATCTCCCTGTACAAGTCCGTGAGCGACGGTTCGGCCTTCTGGTTCGGCCTGCACGATCAGCGCGAAGAGGGAAGGTTTGAGTGGGTGGACGGTTCTTCACTTAGGTCGTACAGCTCCTGGGCTCCGGGAGAACCGGACGACTCTTTCGGCATGGAAGATTGCGTCTCTTACTCCTCAATGTCATTCAAGAAAGACAAGTGGAACGACGAAAACTGCCGCATGCCGAATCACTTTATATGCCAGGCTGCACCAGGTACTTCTTGTATCCGCACTATATTTCATAAAGCTATTTCATCCAGTAATCATCGCACAGCTCGACTCACTGAGTAACATTGAGGATTAACTGACCCACTAGGAGAAACAGGAGCTGCACATGCCATGTCCCTCAGATTTCATGTGGCAAACACCCTGTTGCTAGGGACCTGGCATGGTACTACACAATGCTATTATGTATTATAGAGGTTCCCCCGGTATTCGAAGAGGAATGTAACAGCAGCAGTTTAAACTCTCTCTGTTTTGGTTGGCTTTAGTCAAATACATTTCCACACCTTTTGGGCGGGTGTAATTTTTTTTTGGGGGGGGGGCAATCTCTGAGATCCGGATTTATGACTATGAAAATTTCACAATGGTAAAATCTACTCATTTCAATGTCTGTTTTTTATCTGTGCTACAGTAATTTCCTCAATCAGTACAATTCAAAAGAGACCAAACAAGAGCTCCAAGATCATACCTTTGCCAAATGATCTTCTTGAGCTTTCCCATCTGCTAAATATCATGCACAACTATCCATATCTTCTCAAGTTATGTTTAACAAAACACTAGAACACATACACGAGTAGCGTGCTGCAGAGGTTTAGTTAACGTATTGTCGCAGCTAACTGAACCCCTGTCTATTCTACCCCAGCAGGGATCCTGGACAGTGAAGCACCCCAAGGCGTCTTGAAACGTGACATGCGCCGACTGTCCACCACTGTTGACGTCAAGAAACGCGACCAAGACGCCTTGAAACAACGCGACCAACACGACATGCCTCGACTGTCCACCACTGCTGACGCCTTGAAGCGCCGAACCGCCGCCACCGAGCTGCGTCTTCACAAAATTGGACAGACTTTAAGTAAATTGGTTATTAGCTTTTATGTTGACTAATTCTGATGGTCTTTTTTCCGCCACCATTAGCTTAAAACACTTAATGCGGGGCACTGGTATCTATGTTGGGAGGCTGGGTGTATTTTGCCTTTTAAAAACAGTGTTTAACTGCATATGTTGCATGTATGTCATGATTTTCAACATGATCCATATTTGGCCTGTTTTTCACACAAAACTTGTTTTCCAGCATCGTGCTCCGAAGGTTACACAATGGGGCTATCTCTGAGATCCGAACTTATGAATATAAAATGGCACAATGGTAAAATCTACATATTTGAATGTCTGTTTTTATCTGTGATACAGTAATTTCCTCAATCATTACAATTCAAAAGAGACCAAACAAGAGCTCTAAGATCATTCATTTGCCAAATTATCTTCTCGAACCTTCCTATCTTCTAAACATCATGCACAACTATCCACATGTTCTCAATTTATGCTTTAGAAACACACATACATAACCTCCTGCAGAGGTTTAGTTAACGTATTGTCGCAGCTAACTAAAACCCTGTCTATTCTACTCCAGCATTGATCCTGGATAGTGAAGCATCCCAAGGCACCTTGAAACGTCACCTAGACAACCTGCGCCAACTGCCCGCCACTGTTAAAGCCTTGGAACGCGAACAAGACGCATTGAAACGCGACCAAGACGCCTTAAAACGCGCCCAGGACGCCTTGAAACGCGTCCAAGGCGCCTTGAAACGCGACCAAGACGCCCTGAAACAACGTGACCAATACGACATGTGCCGATTGTCCATCACTGTTGACGACTTGAAACGCGACCATGACACCTTGCGCCAAATGTCCACTACTGTTGACGCCTTGAAGCGCGAACTGGACAACGAGCGCAGCCGGACCGCCACCTTGGAGCAGCGTCTTCACAAAATTGGACAAACTTTACGTAATTTTGGTTTTCAGCTGTTATGTTGACTCGTTCTGATCGTCTTTTTTCCACCACGATTAGCTTAAAAACACTTAATGCGGGGCACTGGTATCTATGTTGGGAGGCTAGGTGTATTTCGCCTTTTAAAAACAGTGTTTAACTGCATATGTTGCATGTAGGTCATGATTTTAAGTATGATCCATATTTAGCCTGTTTTTGATACAAAACTTGTTTTCCAGCATCGTGTCCGAAAGGTTACACAATGTGGCGTGGGACCTGCTACAAGGCCTTCAAGAAAATGAAGACCTTCAACGAAGCGGCGGCAGCCTGTCGTGAAGACGGCGGAACCCTCGCCATGCCCCGAGACGCTGGGACCGACGCCTTCCTCATCTCCCTGTACAAGTCCGTAAGCGACGGTCGGGGCTTCTGGATCGGCCTGCACGATCAGGGCGAAGAGGGAAGGTTTGAGTGGGTGGATGGTTCTGCACTTGGGCCGTACAGCTCCTGGAGTCGTGGAGAACCGAGCAGCCTTTTGCTGTGGGGCGACAACAGCGATTGCGTCTCTTACTCCTCAAGGCCTTTCCAGAAAGACAAGTGGACCGACGAAAACTGCAGCATGCCGAATCACTTCATATGCCAGGTTGCATCAGGTACTTCTTGTATCCGCACTATTTCATGAAGCCATTTCATACAGTAATCATTGCATAGCTTAAGTACATATCTAGATAAGGCGGCGGACTATCATTTGGCGAACCAAATCATTTTTCATCCCTTTTAATTCTGCTCGTTTTTTTCAGGACGTCCATAGGCGACAGGCGGGACTCTCACCACTACTGTACAACGGCTCTCCGACCATCCGCAGTAAAACTAACTAGAAAAACTTAACACCGGGAAATATAGCATTGGTTTAGATCAACATTTTCTCCTACAAGTTTATTTTACACGGGAAAAAATGTCATGAAACAGTAACATGGATGTCAGACTTCAGTTTCCAGTTGCAGACGTTGGCACGTCTTGAATACTTTCATGCCTTTTTACAAGGCACACATTGTCCTCCTGATGACAGAATCATCTCAAGTTACCTTGATGAGAAGAAACAATGAAACAGTTTAAAACCACTGTAATGATCAGGACTGTAACAATTCACGAGTTCCCCGTCCCCAGAATGCATTGCGAAGACAGGGGTCTAAACCTCATTTGCATAGGACAGGAAGGCATCGGAATGATCCTGTTGACGTGAAACAGCTTGCTTTTCACTGTGTTTTAAAGTGTTGTGGCATTTTATGCTCAACGTTAACTAAATTACTATAGGTTGAATCTGACAACAAATAGAGCATGATTTTTTTTGAATATGTGGTTTGTAACGTTATAGTGGTGACGCTAACTGATGCTGTAATGTTAGAAACCATGTTCTATGTTGAAAAGAACACAAAAACTTAATTCTCTATTTGCTGTCAGATTAGACCCATAGTATTAAATTTAATTAATGTTGACAATAAAATGCCCCAACACCTTCAAACACACTGAAAAACAAGCTGTTTCACGTCAACAGGATCATTCCGATTCTTTCCTATGCAAATGAGGTTTAGACCCCTGTTTTCGCAATGCATCCTGATGATGGGAAACTCATGAATGAAACAGTTTGAAACCACTGTAACAATAAAGACTGTAACAATGTAACAATTTAATACAACTGTTATATCTGTTGACTTTCATTGATACTGTAGTTAACATTGTTTAAGACTGCTTAGGATTTTGCGCTTTTTGGGTATTTCTGCAATAAACAGGAACTACTATGGTTCAATGCGGATCTATGATTTTTTAACTGTGTCAATGTGACAGGAAGGTTGGGTGTGCTATATTTGGTACTAAGGAAATAAAATATCCATGCATAAAACAAACGTTTGTCTCTACGCTCAAATATTACTACAACCCTGAATGATTATTAGACTAATTATGGAATAATGTAATGAAAAAAAAACTTCTAAAATTCATTCATTCAACAGTTTTAATATGTTTAGTGATTTACACACACACAAAACTAATAGGATATTTGAAGCGAAAGCAAGTGCCAAAGTCTCATGACCCACGGTCGTTACTAATTAATTTACGAGGTTAACATTATGATGTCAGCTGTAACTAGAGTCATTGTGTCTGTGTGGGGGGGGGGGGGGTGGTCCAAAGTAACGTTGAGTTTTGCTTCTTATTTCGTATAAAGAACGGACGACGAAGAGAACACTTGAAGAAGAATTGGGTGAAGAACTTTATTTTCCTTTCCGTCCCACATTTTATCTATCTTTGGCTATCTCTTGGCCTTGAAACAAACTCGTTAAAGAAATATGACATATTTCATATTAATGTCTTATTTCTTAAAGCTTTTATGACAATGTGTACATTCGTTTGAACATGAAGTAAGGACAACACTGGAAACATCCTCTTAGAATTAGTTCATTTCTTCTCCGTCTTGTAGACAGATAAGTCGTGCTGTTTAAAAACAGCTGGTCAAATTCAAATGTACACGTAGGTACATATTCTTTAGAAAACATAATGATTGTTTATCAAGAAACTACGAAATGTTCTATCATTTTCTTGTGTTTATCCAGCAGCTTATTGATTTCACTCGCGCGAAAATGTAGATGTCATCTATGAAATCTGTTCTAAAACCCCGATCTGAGACCAGAATCTTTAGTCTATCCTAACTCCCGCTCAGTTCAGTCTAACTACACGTCGTTTGTACCATTATAAGGACATCAAATCCTTAACAAAATAAACAGACTGTATGAACAATGATTATGGCTATCTAATAGGTCCCGGGTTCGATATTCACCATGCCCCCGTTGTACCCCTGGGAAAGGCACTTTACACGACTTTCCTCCATATACGATGGAATGACGGCGAACTTGTCTGTTAGGCTAATCTGCCAGGATTATTTTAACAATGTGAATTTGTACTGATAAACAGTTATTCTTATTGAAGTAACCCTTGATGGGATGGGAGTAAAACTTGATGGTATATGATATTATCATATCCCATCATGTATCTTTAAGTTTACTTCAATAAGAATAACAGACTGTTTATCAGTACAAATTCACATTGTTAAAATAATCCTGGCAGATTAGCCTAACAGACAAGTTGGCCGTCACTCCATCGTATATGGAGGAACGTCGTGTAAAGTGCCTTTCCCAGGGGTACAACGGGGGCATGGTGAGTATCGAACCCGGGACCTGTTAGTTTGAGCCAACCCTCCAACCGTTCCGCCAACGACGCCACAATTATGTGACACACCGACACAAATGTCAGAAATGTGAGATAATTATACAAATAGGTTGCAAAATGGAAGTAATAAACTACAACCACTTGAAGATTTTTTCAAATAAGATATTTTAATTTTGGTGCAAATTGGTGCAAGGTGCCCCTTTAATGTAGGACCCATCGCAAACCAAACAAAAATCAAATTAGAAAGATATTCTTTTAACGCACAAACATAATACCTGATTTTTCATTTGTCATCTGAGACAGTTTGACATGGCGCAAACATGGGGTGGGGGCGGTGTGTGGATGTTACATGGATGTTTGGAGTCCGTTAGCACAATAAGCACAGCAAGTAATTTTCATGGATGACATCAGCGCGCATTAATTTTCGCATGAGTTTTGGGGTTTTGACAGTGGTCACCATGCCGAAAATGGGCAAAGATGTCTGTTGCCACGCCGGAAGGTGGATGACAGATAACTATGAAGAGAGGAAACAAGAAAAGGCTCTGATTTAATGTTTTGTTTCTTACTTTGATGCAGTGATATGTGGTGTTGGATGTGTATATGTGATGTTTCCACTGAATCAAAACCATTTGTACAATGATTGAGTCAAAATTTTAAAATGTAGGAACCCTGTTTTTTTCGGTCCGCCTTGTTTTTTTTCGCCCGCTCGCATTAGATTTGGAGTATGCTGGGGATGTCATCCATAAAATTTACTTGCTTTGGCCTCAGGCAAGTTGTTGACATATTCCTGCTGTTTTATTCTGTTGATACATCTGATATTCCGTGCTATGAGCGTGACCAAAGGTGGCAGCCAGCCAAGTAATCGATTTTCTTATGGTACAGACGATACATTACTGCATGCCTGCACTGTACATAGGTCGGGGCACGGCGTTTAGTTGGATCCAAAACCACACGCAACTTGTGGAGAAAACATTTGGACCAAAAAGCCTGAAAGGAGGACTTACGATAAGCGTTTTCCCTCTTTTGTCATAAATACCCGCCTCCATAAGAGACTGCCAAAACTGATTTAACCCCCCCCCCCAAAAAGAGCTCTTTTGAAGAATTTGCCAAGGAGGCTACGAAATACCAGCCTAATCGGTAAGCACGAATTTTTCGCCTTTCTTGATTTTCTAGTGTATTCAGTGAAATCTGCCTAGTAACGGCCGTTCAAGAGGTGCATCTAATAATATGTAAGACATAGTACGTAACTGTGTGTTTGCTGTTACTTAGACTAGTCATTGTTTGATTACTATATACTACTGACGACAATCTAAATTAGCTTATATGAAACAAGAATGACCCTTACTGTGTACAAATAGTTCAGTATATCAAAGGATGTTTAGACCTTAGCTAGACCAAGTAGCACTGGTTGATTCAACTATTGTTTTGTACGTGGGTCAATTTTGTTGTACCCACGTATCTTTCTGCATGTCTACATGTATAGTTTAAGACCTTACGAAAGTCGCTGTACTTTTGTTGTGTCAATAAATTTCCACTATTTTCCAGCTGTTGGTGACGACTATGGAGTCTGCGCGCTCAAGTCTGTTCCAAATACCAACCGAGAGACCGCGCAGCTGCGCAGGCGCGAGTTATGTGTCCCTGGCATGTGAACCCGAACTCGGAAGGTCAGTGGCAACCTTTACGATCATTCCTAGGGGATAACAACTGAGCACCTTTATACAGAGCCAAGGAATGGTTTATCGGCCTGGTTTATTGGCCAAACATCACCCTTGCAATCGCTGAATTGATACAGGGTTTACAATCACATTATACAAATGGTAATGATACACATAATAATACACATAATGATATACATGATATATATTTGTTCCACCCACATTTTTGTGGAACTGTCGCAAGGGTCTGTGCGGCTACCATTCGGCGCCACATATTGACCTCAATACGGCTTTACCCAACCGAAGCTAGGTACCCATTCACCCATTCAGAGTGAGGAAAGTCGTGTAAGGTGCCTTTCCCAAGGACACAACGTCGGGCACATGCCCAGACATGTCCCAAGTACGACTAGGGATCGAACCCGGGTCTCCCGGTTCACAGTCTGATCTACCACAGTTTGC